AAAGCTATGTTTTCTTCCGAAATATCAGCGTCCCCAAAATAGAATTCTTTGATTTTTTTGACCGCGTCTTGAATCAATCCAGGTTTCTGAGAAATATTCCAGTCATAGGGAATATCTCTCTCGAGACTTTGGGACAAAGGAGGGACACTTGTCAAGGATCTAGTGAAACCATAGAAAAGTCCTTCGAGAGAGTTGAATCCCATCATTATCGGAATCTGATGACACCTCCCCGATTTCATGATTTCTTCAGGATCTTCGGACAGAAGTGCACCTGGGTGGGGATATTCTATAACTGGACCGAATGGTCGAACTTGGGCGGCGTCGAAAGTTTTAGGAAGGCAGCACTGAAACAATCGTAAATAATAAGAGACCGCGATAGTATGGGACTTTTCTCAAATAGTTGAATGGGAGATGATAATTTATTTTAGAAACACTATGACCTTAATCATTCATCGACCGATGGCGACTGGGAAAAAAATTAACATTTTATGTTAATGTTCATAAAAGCGACAAAAAATGTCAGTGCGACAATGAACATCATTGTTCAGTTAGAATATTCTCATTTAGTTTTCGGTTTCACTAGTAGAAAGGTACCACGTCAACAATCTCTAAAACGGTCAATTCTCGTTCATTGAAAGAAAAAAATGAAGCGATTTTTATTTACGGTGACACGCGTAACTTTCATGAGACCGAAAGGATTTTCAATGAACGATTTTTGAATCGTTCTATCTGTAGAAAATATTTGAGAGAATTTGTATCCAAATTCACAACTACCGGTACTGTACATAACAAAAAGTCCCCAGGTCATTCGTCTATTCCGGAAGAATAGCAAGTGCAAATAATTGGTGAGATGGTAGTAAATCCTTCTACACTGTAGAGACTTGAGGAGGAATAGGTATCATCCATATAAAATTAAATTGATACACCAATTAACTGAAGATGACCCTGATCGAAGAACATAATTCTGCAAAATCATGACGTAAACCATTGCAAGGTATCCTACCTATCTCCATAATACCTGTTTGTTTTAGTGACGATTGTACATTTTTTTAAACGGCAATGTTCACAGACAAAATGCCGTTATTGAAGTGACATCAACCCCCACGTTTTTTGGGAAACACATACCTAATATCCATAAAACATTAACGTTTGGGCAGGAATACTAGGAAACCATATTGTAGGACCTCTATTTATTGAATGAAATTCAATAGGGGGACTATATTTGAATATGCTGAAAACTACTGTTGACCCTCTCATCATTGAAATCGTCGAAGCGAATCCTAATAATAATGATAATAATAATAATTTCTCATTATTTCCTTGTTAAAAAGTACATTGTTATACGTACAGTGACAAGGAAAACGTCTTAGGGTAGGATACGTTACAGAGTATAATGTTTGTAGTAATCAATAACTAATGGTTGCCAACTGACTGAGAGTGTTTCCAACACTGACACGTTGCCCTCTATTTTCCAGATAGGATTTCATTAAATCTAGGGCAACTCCTCTCACACCATATCTTTCCAATTTCCCTAATAGCAGGTCATTATTAACGCAATCGAAAGCTCTGGAGAAGTCTATGAACAATCCGCAAATATGGAATTCACCATCAAGTGCACTAACCACATGCTCATTGTACTCATAAAGTGCTGTTTCTGTACTTTTGTTCTTTGTGAAACCGTGTTGGTTTTCTGAAAAAAGGTTGTTAGTTGTGAAGAAAGAAATTGATTTTTTAAATTTAGTTAAAAAATCTTGGAAATACTTGAGAGTAAGATAATTCCCCTGTAGTGTTACTTTTGTTAGTTTCAGACTATTCGGAAAAATTCCATTTTCTGTAGACAAGTTTATGATATACGTTATTGGGCTGCAAAGTTCATAAGAACATTTTTTTAATAAATTGTTTGATATCTCATCGTGACCACTTACGTTTGAATGCTTCATGCTTTTTATCAATTCTATAATTTAGGGTTCCGTTAGTGGACGCAGACATTGATTTTTCGCATATTGAGATATTGCTATTCATGTAATCGAAGTCTACATTCGCGGCTGTATGAAATTTGAGAACTCATTATTGAAGTTGTTAGCCATGTCTATGAATTTCAGCTATGTCTAATGAATTCGATATGGATATTGTATTCCAACAAGATGGAGCACCACCACATTACTCCAGACAAGTAAGGAACTATTTGGATATCACTTTTCCCGGTCGTTGGATTGGCCGTCGAGGTCCTACAGAATGGCCAGCCCACTCGCCATATTTGACACCTTTGGACTTTTTTATGGGGCTATTTGAAGCAAAAAGTGTAGGAATCGGATATCGAAATGTTCGGCGGAAAAATCGGCTGTTCATATTTTAAGAAGTTCAAGGCAACCATTTGAAAATATTGACATTATATTCTAGAGTTGTGAAGCATTCGTTAGGTGCTTCAAAATGGTGTGTCACAAGACCACCCTTTCCATTTAAATTTTTTCCAGATGGCACCCAGTCGCCATCTTGAAAGTTTCATCTGTCACTTTCACTTCAGAATAAAGTATTCATGCATTAATTTCATCATCACAAATTTCAATTGTTTGAGTTGACCCGTTCAAAAAATAAAAGGAAGGGGGCACTAGATTGAAAAGTGTACTCAAAAATCAGAAGATTTGATGATAGCATCAAACCTACGTACCATTCTGAAAAATTGATTTGGTGAGCAATTAATTAAAGAAGCGGCTTGAAAATTCATATTGAAAACCGACACACAAACATGATTACTCAATCAATAAATCTGATCAGAAAATAAAAATAAAAATTCCCTCATCCTTTTTTTGTATCAAGATGGAGTAGTAGAAAGCCAAAAACTTTCTTTCCCAAAAAATTAAAATCACCATTATTGAAGAAAAAATCAACTTATTACGCAATTCCAATCTCAAAAACAAGTCATGGTAGTTTTAGTTGTACTAGCCATTTCAATAAGTAACTAAAAACTGATGAGATTCTAATGTTATTTTAATATCTTTCTGCGATATCGATTTTGATTACTGAAGGTTATCACTCTGGTTCAATAGTTCAGTTTGACTTATTCTGGATGATTCATTAACTATTTAACAGAACCATAAATAAAAATAGTGGATTTTTAGATATATAGAGAGATCTTTATTTGAAATAGGAATCCTAATATACAAATTCACTTGAAAGCAATTTGAGCATAAATATACATTACTGACATTTCCAAAGTGATTGAAAGTGAGTATATTCACAAAACAAACAGATTTATATGCATGCACACATGTACTATCTAATATATGAAAACGGATGTTTGTTGGTTGGTTGGTTGGTTGGTAAGTGATAAACTTCTACATCGCTCAACGGATCGTGATGAAACTTGACATGTATAAGTAATTTTTCATAGAGAAGGCTTTTAGGCTATCAATTTTTCTGTAACTCGCCACTAGATGGTGCTGTAGAACTATTTTTTGAAAGCACTGTTCTATAACGCTGCGCACGCCTAAGTTCGTTGATTCTGATTGGCCGATACTTGATGAAAATCCATAACTAACGTATTAAAAAAAACATTGTTGTTATATTTTCACAGTTTTACAAAAACGCAACATGTGTTTCGCCAAATAATGACTTCTTCAGGCGTCAATACAAATTCACTGATTAATTATGAAACACTTGAAATTTTTTAGAACAAATAAAGAAAATAATTATTTTCCACTGAAACAGACAACTGGTTAAATTCATGGATTCCTTTGAAAAAGCCAAGATTTCATTGTGCTTTTACGATTTGTTCTAGAGATGGAAATGTCTCAAGATATACCCCATTAGTTCATCAGTGAATGAACACAGTGCATGAAATATGCGAGAATTTACGACCTCAAGACTTCGTAAAGAGTTACTACTTGAAGGTGAACATAAAATAAGACGAAGAAAAATGATTCCAAGTTTGGGTTTTTTCGTTATTTAGGTCGTTTCAAAAGTTTTATCACTTCTAATGAGTCTCTTTGAAACGGCAAAATATATCAGTGACTACTTATTCAATCCGATCGGTATAAGCGTCATTTGAATCAGTGCACTTCTGTCAACTTAACACAAGTCGATCAATTCTGTCTGCATGAAAATTGGGTGTTAGTTATTCGATGAAGTCGACGAGGCCGTTTTTGCCTGGTCCTGATTGGCGAAGATTTTACCGCTGAAAAAGTTATTCAAGTGCTTGAAAAGATGGTAGTCGATTGCCAAAAAGTCTGGAAAGTATGAGGGGCGCTCCATTCGTTGATTTTTCGGATGACGATTTGTGGAGCATGATGTCAAAGCTTGGCTTCGCAACTGACAGCCTCGAGGAGCCCCGTTCATCTTTGAAATTCGAAAATTAAATTATCTGCCGATTCCATAGATTGCGTCTCCCTAAAGGCATATGTCATCGCCCCCACTCGAAATTACGTTACGACTCCAAACTCGAAATTTCGACTCCAATCCTGAAATTTTAAAGTCAGAATTTTGACGTGAAACTCAAAATTTTGACTTCAGTATCGTATTGTTGACTTTAAACCCTTAATTTTGATTATAATCTCAGAATTTCCAATAATCAGATAAGAGAAAGTTGTGGTTCTTCTGCGCTTCCATGAAAAATATTATATAGCGAATAGTTTTGTTATATCTAAAAGGCAACGTTTTTGATTAAAACTCGCAAGGGTAGCACCACCGCCACGACTTATCTCGAATAATATCATCATATTTCAACTAATTGACACAAAAACATTAACAAGTTATACGCAGTATCCTTTCTTTTGAATCGCTCCATACACTGATGAAAACTTCTCATAAGTTCAGACTTCCATTGTTTAATATGATATAAATTGATTTGAAAGTCCTGAAGGAATCTATAAATTAATTAAAAAGAGTAGCTGAAAAAACAATTTTATCAGTCGAAAAATTGAAATTGAAATGAAATAACTTACAAGCAACAACCAAAAAACACTACTTCGTGAACATTATCAACTATACAATTCAGAGCCAAATGTAAACATCCAACAAAAAGTTGAAAAAGTCACACAGTTTAAATACCAGTAGGTACTGTAACACTAATAACAAAAATTATATGTTCATAGAATTCAAATTTTTGTCTGAATAGAACTCGTCTATAGAATAATAGGCCTTTGAAAACAGAAGTGGTACATTTTATGCATTTGATCCGAATTGGCCAATGGTTAAACATTTTTTTCCATTATATATAAAAGACCTCTCAATTTTTTATTATATTGAGCTTATTTCTAGTATTCCGTCGAAGTGAAATGAAAATTTCCGTCCTATATTTTTTTTGCATCAGACATACCATTTCCAAAATAAGTATGGAAGGCAAGGTCAAGATTTTATGCCTTCTGAATAAAGGTCGACAGGAATTCCTGAATCCAACTCTACACATATGTCTAACTCCTCTTTTTTAAGTACACACCCTATCAAACATGTATTGGCAACATGTTTCCTAAAAACAGATACCGTATCGCAGATGGGAATCAATGAGAGCAAAGTACACAATTGTTGCCACAATAGTTCCCTAGTGCCCACAATGAAACTCCAGTTCCAGTGTAAAGTCGACCTTCAATTATGGAACGGGCACACTTGCAGACCGGTTTCGGGCTTACTAGCCACTCATCAGTGCAAGATAGTGACCATCATCGACCTAACTGCCAGTCTTCAAGCATAGCCCACTGACTTATATGAATGCTGCATAGAAGTTTCATATTTAAGATCTTTCTTGAAGATTGACAGATGTTTAATCAGTGTATCTCGAAAAATGATCAACCGTCAAATGGAAGAAATTGAACAATACCACTGAAAATACGAAGAAAATATTTAACACAGTCCATCAGTTCTGGTGTGAAAAAATAAAGGACTGTTTGCAGATGGAACGATCTCAAGTTGATGAATGTATTTGGTATTCTCAAATACTTACGTCAGTCATGTACTGAGCGTCCATTAAACTACGTATGCTAGCATTTTGAAGTTTTTGCAGGATGATTTTTTCATCAGTATCCTTATATCCCATTGCCTTGGCGATATCTAGAGCATTCCTTCTTCCTCTTGCCCATGGGTTGAAAGCACTTCCGCTTTGCATGATAGCTTTGTGAAACAGACCTTAAAAAATATATATTCACTCAAAACTTGATTGGAACATATGTGAATTGTGATTTGCATTATAGGAATGTAGGCTTTAACAACTGTCGTCAATGTTTTGGTTAGTTTTCAGGTTTGCCGCAGTCTTCTTCGGTTACAATTTTCACGGACAGACGAGAAACAAACTTTTTCAATGTAGGAGTTCGAATCGTTCATAAAACGAAAGCCATTCAAGCGGAGGAGGTTTCATTCAAGTAATAAAAATAATAAACTTCAAGCTTATGTCTAATTTTTCAGGGGTCTCTTGATACTTCTAAAAATAATGTATAATTTTCATAGTCCTGTATTAGAAANTCTATAACTTGATCTATGTCAATTGGAGATTCATGTAAATTCGATCACTGACTCTCTGTATTTCTGATTCTACCGAAAAGTACTTTCCTCAATACTAAAACTATGTAATGCTTTTTATCTACAAATTTCATGTATAATGGAATCAGCATCAGTAGGAGATGACAACAATCGATGGTCTAATGATCTTTTTTATTAGGAAATATTTGACGGTAAAATGCATATTAAAATTTCAGAGAAGAGAAAAGTAATTTTCAGTAGAACCGATCTGAAGCTCCGTTACTACCATCGAGATGGTGGTACTCAAATCAGTATAATATTTGGTTGATTGAATCCAATAACCAAATTCAAATAAGAGGGAAGGATTTTGATTTGTAACTTTATTTCATTTGATTCATCATCATTCATACTTATTTTGAACTTTCGAAATGCTTCACTTTATCAGCAAGATACAATGAGGTATAAACATTGTTTGTTCAACTACTATTCATCATTTGTTCAACAAAATCATTATTTTGATGTATAAACATCATCCTGCAGATATGTTTACTCAAATAGAAAATACATTCGATTATTTCAATCAGATCCACTATTTCACCCATCTTTAAATTTTGTTTGTTCAATAGAATATTCGAATTACTCTAAATCATTCTCACTATCAATTAGACAAAATATTACTTGAATTCAATTCTTCTTTGAATTGAAATAACTAATGGATGTGACTGTTTCAAACAAATATTTGTTTGATACAATGAACATATGCTTGAAGAAATAGTTGGGAGTCAAGAATTCTTTTTTCTTGCATCAACAAAATATTTTGTCGTGCATATGTGACACTTTAATTTCTTTGAATGAAGTGAATTTTCTTTCATTTAACAAAACTTTTTTATCACGTATGGTCAAGTGCGTTTGAACGCTGGGTAACTTAATGATATCATCAGTGATATCAAGAATCACAAAGAAAGCCGCAAACTACCATATCCTTAAATATTTGGAAGGCTTCAACATCTTGAGAGATCACAATATGGCTTTCGGAAACGAAGATCAACAGGCGATCTTCTATCCTATGTCACCCATATTTGGAATAGAGCAATAGAGAAACATGGAGAATCAAGAGCTATTGCTCTTGATAAGCCGTGTGACAGGAGAGTTTGCTGGCCATACTTTGATGCTATGACTTGTTGGATCATTTTTGTATGACTCTTCAGCTTCCGGAAAGAAAGTTCCCTGCAAGTGGCCGTCGAATACCTACTTCAACTGTTGTTCCCCAGGAATCCATATTGTCTCTAACACTCTTTATGTTGTATATCAAAGACTTATTGAATAAAACCAAGAATCCATTATGTTACTCTGCTGAAGACAGCATACTTGTCTCGTCATTTCTTTTGGATTCCAGGATATTGGCTGAGGATGCACATCTTCAGCAGTAGGTTGCATATCTAAATGAGAATCTAGAAGTGATTTCGAATGGGGGTGAAACTAACCAGTTTCAATTCAATGCCACAAAAACCCAGACATCGGTTTTCTCCAAGAAGATAAATGTTAATGAAGCGGATATAATGATGTCAGGTTAGACGATTTCCCTTTCTGCGTCCATTTGTTTGTTGGAGTTTGAAATGGATACCAGTTTGTCTTGGCACAATCATGTCACTAGGAGCTCTGCCCCTAGGCATATTCTCAAGCTGCTGGATTCCATCCAGAAAAAAGGCATCTGTTTGATCAGAGACGCAAACATTACTTGCAACCTTGATAGTTTGAAACATTGAAGAAACTTCACTGTTGAAGAACTATTTAATTTTGAGAACTGCATTTATGTGGAGTAAACTTCCTGAGAACATTTTTCCAAATGGATTCAATTTCCAGCGATTCAACTCCAATGTGAATCGTCTCTTTCGTTACTTTCCTTGTGTTTTGTCCTCAGAAAAAAATCAACAGTTGTGTACGTCGATGATCTTGTGAATTGATACTGATGAATATTTCCGAGAAAGCTGAAGCATGGTTTGAACTGATTGCAAAGTTGGCCGATATTTGAGGTATTTGAATAAACCTTTATTGTGAGATCTTCACTCAACATTCTTTCTATTATATGCCGTGAATATTCTCTCTCAAATCATCTTCATTGTTGATGAGACTCGTATTTACTTGCGTTTTCAGATGTCCCCACAAAAATAAATCTGACCCATTGAAGTCTGAAGACTTTGGTGGCCATTCTTGGGGTCCATCATGGCCTTTTCAACTATAATGTATTGGTGGATCATCATACTTATACTATATTACATTTCTCGATGTGAAGGGTACATTTTCGAGCAGGAGTGGCAGTTGTTCTTGAAAGAAGTTGTGGCAAGATTGTTCTTCAAGTCGTCTAGGCAAGAAGAATGGTCCAACGAAGTGGTTACCTGTGTAACGCCTGAACTATTGAGATGTGGCAAGGATATAACAAGGAATCCACTCAAATTCTCCACAAAATTAGATGGCAGATATCAAACTGTCTAGCAATCTTCCAAGTACTTCTTTCAGTATGTTCTTCAATTTCTATAGCACCGCTTCCTCAATTTCTGTTGTTCTTACACTTTGAGGCTATTCCTCAGATCCTTCATTTCGGGCAGTACTAGTTTCCAGAAGACGACGATGAAGATTGGACAAGGTTACATATGTTGCATGAACTATATATGTTTATTGTTATTGATGTGACTATCAAACATTTTCTTTTTGCATTGGATAAATGCCCACTTTTCATAGATATGAGAGACATCCATAAATAAAAAAAAAATCAACGAAGTGTGAAAATTGAATTCAATGTAATATACTAACCTAACACTCCTATCCGATAATTGACAACGACTAGAACGATATTTTCGGTAAGCAAGTACTCAGGACCATATATTATCCTATGGTTAGATCCAAGCATGAAACCTCCACCATATAAAAACACCATCACAGGATTCTTTATCGGCTGATGTTTTGGCAACTGAAATAAAGCATTAGTAGCCAAAATATTCAATGGGTGTTTGATAATTCGGCGATGAATCCGACTGTGAAGAAGTTTCATGAATCAGAAAACGAGGTAAACAACCCAAAACGCATATTCTTTATGAAAAATTAAACTGTTGGTTATAAATTAACCCTCTATTCCAAACGAGTTAACTAAGATAAGAAGTGCAAGAATACTCGTAGCAACAACTTTGTCTTTCATCGACAGTTCCTAGGAGCAGATCTGCCAGAGTTTGTGCTGGTACTTGTCGCGGAGAGAGTTCTTCACATCTGTTATCTCTTGTGAGTGACGTTGATCCACCCCGAGGTGAGTATATGCCTCTCCAGCATCCATCAACAAGCTGCACATCCTCTCCGTAGTCCCCACATCGCCCTCTTTTGAAATGGACCTTTGTACAACTGTCTTTCCCAAATTTCATTCCGATAGTGTGCGATACTCTTTCACGTCCCTCAAGGACTGATGTAGGTCCTTCTTGTCCAGAGGCATGAAGTTCAACATCATCCAAGTAAAACAAATGGGTGACCTTATGCCTACAGTTTCCGGGGGTGTCTCAGTTATACCCTCGAGTATTTATGAGGGCAACAGATGGTGGCAAAAGTGAGAAGCAGAGAAGAAGGAGCCTGAGGGAATCGCTGTGGAATACACCCCTTCTGAAAGTGACCCACACTGTTTGGACTCTGGCTTGGCCAGATGTTATGGTGAAGCGAATTCACCAGAGTGGTATCAGTTGTTCAAAGCATCTCACTAATTTGTCGGGTACCGCAAGGCGTCTGAGCAAATTCAAGATGAGTTAATGTGGTGTATCAAATGACTTGCAGTAATCGTTCCATAAAGAGGTTACCCACATTCTCGTATTGTATCGAGTCCTGCGTTACACATCTATCGATGAGCAGGTTCTCTTTACATCCAGCGACTCCTCTCTTCTACCCTCTCTGCTCATATATCCGTTCAAACACTCGGTCAACTGCGTGTGTATAAGATGCTTGTAAACAACTTGTAACATGAATTCTCAGTAATTGAAAAATCCTCTCTTTTGAGGATGAGAATGATCTGCCCCTCAACAAACCAATCCGGAATACGATCTGCACTCCGTCCCGCTATGAGTCGAAAACCTTGGCCAAATGACGTTGGGTGCTCGGTAGTTTTCACCATCTGTATCTGTATAGTAGGGAGGTTGAGTGTAAGCTCACAACACTTAGGCAACATGTAACCCATTGTACATCCTCCAGAGGAGTTGTGCTCCTAGGTTGTCGGCCATCCTGTCCTTCACAGAAAGGTGGACAGGTCACTGATAGACATCTCCTTTATATCGGCAGGTGTAGAACAAGACTCGCCGAATACACACCCTCTAATTGACGATAACTCCGGGCACTCGCATAGGACATGCCTGACAGTCTCATCTTCCCGTTCACGCATCCTGCATAGAGGTGTATCCACTAGCCCCATATTATGGAGGTGTTTCCTTAGTTGACAGTGGCCAGTCAGAAGACCTACTGTTAAGCGTAGATTTTTCCTGGTCATCGCCAGATATTTCTTCAACGCCAGCTTCCCAGGGTCGCCCAGGGTGATCCTGGCAAGATTGCATCCTTTGATTCCATCCCATCTCTTTAGGGATTGAACATGGGTGTAACATTTGGCTGGTTCCCCAATTGTCGAAGTCATCAGGCCGTAGGTGCCATGGGTCGTAAAATCCTTAGTCCAGCCGCTTCCTTGGCTAAAGAGTCGCCAATGCGATTACCTTTACTCCTGTCGTGCCCAGTTTTCACCATCAGTAAGTGTTCGGCCCATCTGAGTTTGGAGCAGCAAAGTTCTTGAAATCTACAAGGACTCTTCGAACGTCTCCTGGGACATTATTTGCATTCTTAGAATCTCTTCCAGACACCCAAGTTCTGGAGAATTCTCCGCTCCATACCATGTGTAAAGTGACAAATTCTGTTAGCGATGATCTAGATGTATTTAGTTGCAAGTTATCAGATATGAAATCTCACTTGCTGAAATAATTGTTTGTCGTCTATTATGAAATAAAAAATGCGTACTTATATGCTTGATATTCATATAGAAAGTTTGTGATGTATTCATTATATTCTGTTTATTCCTGCTCTGTAATTGGGCTCTGTCCTGTAGAGTATTGTATCACAAATAAATAAATGAATAAATAGATAAAGTATCGGGTGGCGCACATCATCGAGCTCTCACCTGAAAGCTTGGAACTGTGCTAGAGCTGGAGTATCTAAGTTGATACGTTGCGGGTGTTAATAGATGTCCTTATCATTATTATTTTCATTATTTTCCGGTATTGAATGAAAGACGGTTAGCAGACATCGCGCAGTACCTAGTATGTACATTGTCATCCCCTAAGTATGCACCATATGGGAAACTTATTTATTAAGGGTTTTTCGACGAAAAGTTATTCATAATAAAAGTTTGTGCATTTCCTAAAACTAAACATGCACCAACAAAATACAGTAAAACACAGGTAATATACGAGGAGCCTTCAAATATTTGATTTTTTAAAGAGTGAAATAGTTTTACTCAGTTTTCTCATGAATTATTTGAATAACCTAAAATAAGAAACTCACTTCTTTCGTGAAAATATTCATATGCAGGCAGTTGTCTTCTTTGCCAATCGATAAACAAGTCTGCAATTTCGCAGGACATGCCGGGCCTTCTTTTTTTCCGTTCCATATTCCTGTCCATGGCTCAAGGGGAACTGGAGCCTGGAAAATTATGTATTCAAGTGAAATTTTTGTCAGATATATACAATGAAAAATGAGCTACGTCATCATCTATTTTTTTCATCCATTCAATGTAGTTTCACCAAAATCAGTAATGCGGTTCAAAGATAACAAACAGTCAAATTAGTATATTTCGACGTGCTGATAAAATAACGTGTAGTTACATAAAAACTAAATGTATTCGAAAACTGATAAATAGTTATGGTCAGGCTGAAAATTGTTGGAGTTCGTCAAATAAATGTCGGTGAAATGAGAGTATATCAAGGGATCGATGTTGATCACATACATGGAGGATTTGTAGAGATATACTGAATTTATTGTCTAAAAAGGAATATCCCTGAAAACTATTTACATTCAACTAGACTGATCGTATCACAAAATACTCCAATTTGAGCAAATGCTTTCGAGTATATTAATTCAAAATGAAGTTTCGAGACTTGAGACCAAATTTTTAAAGTATCAAGCCAATTGCTTAGCAAAATTTCTAAAATTATGAATTTAGACACATACAAGCTTTTTCAACTTGAGCCCCTTGATAAACCTTTGAATGAATCAAGGGAGTTTACAACAGAGGTTATGACAAATTACTCAATCAGATATCAAGAACTGTGTAAAATATATTATTGGTGGGTACGGGTTCAATTATTAATAGGAATACAGGCAGTGCAGATATATGCAATACAGGGAAATATGCAGCAGGAATTGACTATTACAAAAAGATGGATCGATGAAGAAGAACTCAACACAAACCTAAAAATATCGATCTTCGTAGCGTTCACCAAGAGGATGTAAAAAGCGAGTCTAAGACCTCTGAAACTTGAAGGTGATGGGGAACATCTATCTATAGAGGCTCTAACCTATGGCTTCCAAACCCATTATAACATTAGGATCCATGGTTTGGTGATGGATGATAGAACGAACAAACTAGGAAAAGAGTAAAGACTTGCTAGATTGAGAAAAACGGAGGAAAGGAAAGCTACTGCTATAGCTGTTATGGATACATATTTGAATAATCCTCCATCACATTCTGTTACGATGAGAAAAGCAAGGGTAGTCAATTCAGACACATGCTCGACACAAACTTACCAGTTGAAGTCTGAAATCAAGAGAAGAAATAACGAGGAGAATGAGTAGACATTTATGTAACAAGCTCGCCAGAAAAGCCTGATGTGGGTTGAAAATTGAACAGGAACGGGTGCTATAATTCACTCTGAAGAAAGAAATATCCATTTCTGTCACCCAATCGGACAGTAAACATCAGTCCTTCAAGTCTGACTGAATTCAATTTTGCAATGCGCAAGAAACATAAATTTTAGGCCTCAATGTAATGAAAGTATCTCCCCCTGACGATTTTACAAGGCTTCATCAGTATCATCGAGAACTGTGAAAAGTATGATTTGGGATGCGTTCTCCTATGAAGATGCATCATTTTCCGGGTTTTCACGTCTAGTCAATACAGCTCCTCCTGAGTCCACTTCACTACTGCAAATGTGTGACTGAAATGGTAAGCATATTGATAGCAACAACTTTGTTCTTTCCTGATAGCTTCGATGACCAGATCTGTTAGAGTTTGTTTTTTTAAGGGCCAGCAAGCATTCATGCCACACTCGGTCAAAGGCCTTAGAGATATCAAGCGCAACAGCTATTGACTCTCCATGTTTCTCAATTGCATTAGTGACATACGATAGAAGGTCGCCTGTTGATCTTTGTTTCCTGAAGTCATATTGATGATCGCTCAATATGTTGAAGCCTTCCAAATATTCAAGGATATGGTGGTTTATGGCTTTCTCCATGATTTTTTATATCACTGATAGCAGAAGGACTGGTCTATAGTTATTTGGAAGATTATTCTTGCCCTTTTTGGAAATAGGTTGAACGCGAGCAGTTTTACAACAAGAAGGAAAAACCCCTTCGTTGTAAGATAATTCGAAAAGTCTACAAAATACTGGTGCTAGTTCATTTGCGCACTTTTCAAGTTCGATGACAGGCACCTCATCAGGATCAGACGCCTTGTTGATATTGAAATGTTTCAAAATTTGCCTGACCAGTAATTTTAGGCATTGTGCATTTCAGCGTGGGAATAGTGGGTGGTACCTTCCACAGAAAATCACCTGTGGAGTGGTACGCGGCAAGAGGTCTTTGCTGAGGTCACCTTGTTCCTCCCCGAGGTCTCCCTGGAATCCTGATGGTGCAGGATGCTTCCGTTCACGAGCTGTATATCTTCTCTGTAGTCCCCACATCGTCCTCTTTTGAGAAAGGTCGTTAGCTATCCAGAATTTCATACCGATGGTAAGACTCCCTCAAGCATTGATGGAGAATTGTTTCTTCATTTGCATAAAGTTGTTCGAGGTGATCGGTATAAATTAAATGAGCACTGTATAATGTATCTGGGAATGAATCTGAACGAGTTTGTTAATGAATTCCGATTTTTCCACTATGCAATTTAAACTTCAAGGCTAACTGCTGCTCTTTCCGAAAATAACTTATTGCATGAGAGCATCCAGTGTCACATTCACATGTAGATTTTGAAAACAAAATCGGTGAATTTGATGTATATCAATTTATATGTGTTTGCTCATTTTCGATATTTGAAGGTCTTTTCATTCTCTCGTTAGTAACTGTTCCAAATTTATATCTTCATCAGAGTTAATGAATTTGCCGAACGTTTGACAGATGACAAATAGTATTTTTTGTAACAGCCTTGATAACAGCTTTTGTAACACGAATTCTTCTTCAGTAGTGGTCCAAAAATATGAATAATTGTGTTTTTATCATTAGTATCATTGCCAATACCACTCCTCACATCGTGAGGCATGCTACCATTTCGACAGCCTTCTGTATTTGTTCAGCCAAGATTTCTGTCTCAGTTCCGGCATTATCTTGATATTCGAGAGCAACGGAGGCATCTTTCCACCAAGGACTTCAATAATCGCAACTACCATCCAAACAAAGTTGTCTGGAAAGAACCTGTAGAGCTCGAGAAAAATATCGATATTCGTTTCAGCTGGAACCGAAACCAGATCATTTGTTTCATTATCAGCTGTATAGCATGTGCAAGTCTGAGGACCAAAAATTATTATCAAACAGGGCATCAGGCCCTTTCCAAAAAGCTACAACCTATTCGAAGGGTGTGCCAGCCAACGACAACCCCTCACACTGTGGGGTAAGTGATCACTGGGGCCGAGAATGATATGCCCTGAGCAGCCGCAGTAACCCAATTATCATTATTTCCATTTTTATTCGGGAGAGGACCTATTTAAGTGACCATAGGAAACGAAATGATTGGAGTGGGTTCCATGAAAATGATGGGAAAAAACTTCAGTAAGTCAATGATGCTGAAGTGTTTTTTGTAACCTCAAAGAAACAGATAAATTAGACGCTCCTCAAGTAGTAAGAAAAAAGTCTGAGGAAATTTTGAAATTTATTCACGGGCACCAAATGAAAAATGGTCATTGAACAAAGTTGCAATAATATTGGGTGAATTTGGCGAATGTAAATGACAATTTGTGAATATGCATAGTTATTATGTAGAATATTAAAAAAAATCAAGTTCACTAGTTAATGCATTACAGACAAAACCCGATAAAAAAGTGGGTTTACCACTGACAATGACGGAATCAACAAGACAATGGTTTTTCACTGACAAGGTTGTTATACCCTACAGCCAGTTGTGAAATTGTCATACTGAAAAAATATCGTTTATCACTGTTGTGAACCTTGGCTTGAGCTGAACAGAAAATTATATAGGTCAGCGTCTACATCGACTTCTAGAAGGAACTACGTTGAAGCACCATCGAGGTTGGGAGATTGTCTGTTGCTGAAAGATATTTCGAAACAGGTCTCTTCCAAAACGGTTTCAAGGATGCTGGCAGGTGCACCTCCTAGATCTGACATTCTTCTAGGAGAAACACAGTAACCAGAAAATGAAACATGGATCAACAACGTTGATTAGCACAATATCACTATCAACGAACCTTTCCAAAATAAATTTGACCAAAAAGTGTCAGGTATTGGAATTCTATATACTTTGATTTCAATGAATATTACTGCACCAAACCGTTATTTTAACACCTCTACATATGTTTCGATCACCAAGTGATCATTTTCAAGACGAAGATCAAACTGTTTAATCTTCCTTTTGAAGATGATCAAACTGTTATTTTAACACCCCGACACATGTTTCGATCACCAAGTGATCATCTTCAAAAGGAAAATTAAACATCTTTCTGAAGATGATCACTTGGAGAACGAAACATGTGTCGAGGTGCTGAAATAATGGTTTGGTGTTGGGAAAAAACTCCGGTGATATTCATTACCACACCAAAGGTTCCAAAAAGTGTGTCAGAAGTACTTGTATTTCATATTTCACAATTTATTCTATTGGAGTTATCAATGGGTTAACCAGAAACTTATTTTTTGTCTTCATGTCCGAAATGAAGATCTATCATGACAAAAAAATTAAAATACTGAACTTTGCATTGAAAAAATAAATTTGACGCAAAATGCGTTACTGAATCATTTTGTTTCATGCATCTTGATGACCAAGTGTGATGAGATAGTGCGAACATAATTCTGATTAGCCTGTATAGTTCATTGTTTTTGGTGAATATATTATTATTGTTATCATAAATGAAACTGACCTTGAATCTGAGATGACCCACAGGCGCTTTGGCGTATGGTATTCCGCAGAAGCTATAAAACTTTCCGCCTTTGTAATCCTTTTCTTTTTGGCCGGCGATACGTCCGTTCTCAACCGATACTATAACATCCTCCATTGTACTGACTGAACAAAATGAAACCAAGTGATTGAAGGAATATTATTACTGAAGTATTTCGACTATACACGGTGAGATAGCCATAAGTGGAACTGCGATTCTAAACAGTTCGTGTGCTTGATCAATAATGATGATGATAATGATGATGTTATCGGGAATGATTTCAGTCTAATGATAATTTTCAACATTCAATACCGATGTACAATAATGTGAGTTTATATTAGTCCTGATTATGTAACAAATGTTAGTAAGTAATTGATTTTCTTTCACATCGGAATGGACTTTTCCATAACGACGTGAAAAAAACTGAACATTTGGATGGAAAGAATGTTAAAAAAAAATGTTGAAACATGTTTTTTCCGTTAACTAGCTATCGCACCTCTACGAACGACAACCCTCAGAAGTCGAAACTTATGGGAGCTGAGCACTAATGAGGTCTTACCTTTCAAAGTGTGATTCCTAACACGGGTTGGACGATAGCAAGTGAAAATCGATCGTTCAGCCTGGGGCTTGAACCAGCGACTCACACATCGGTCGATTGAGAGAGTGAACAAAGCACCCACGTCGAACCGCCCGGCTACCGAACTTGAATTTTCACAACGCGAGAGAAGTACGATATCCACCTTTGTGAAGTGAAATGTGGAAAATATACAAAATTAAATAATTACTCTGCATACTTTTTTTTTGAAGGTGATGAAAAACCTGCTTGAGGATGCATCATCCTCCAGGTTTTGGCCTGGTTCCAATTGCCGAAAAGTCTGGGGAGTAGGATGAGTGAGGCACAATTCGTTGAATTTCGGACGATGATTTGTGAAACATGCGGACGGGCGTTGTCTTGAAGCAGTATCGGACATCTTTTGATTTTAAATTTAGGGAATATAACATGAAAATTAATTGAAATCATCGGGGAATTCCAAAACTGCCCCTAAATTTATAGTGTGAGTCATTTATGAAAAGTTAGTTTCAACCCACTTATATATCTTCAGGAATAGTCACCGATTTCAAGCATTTTTATTGAAATTTTGGAAATCTCATGCCTAAAACACGATTAAATTCAGCATTTTGATGAATAGTTAGTATATCATTGGTGCAGGTGTTTTCAGTCGTAGACCCAGGACAGAGATATCCACCTGGTTGGAAGAATCCAACCTCATACACAAGTCCATTAAAATATTCTCGGACAGTCAAGCGGCGTTGGAAGCTCTTGGCTCCTACCGAGCAACGTCTAAATTGGTAGCAAAGTGCCAAAAACGACTCTCCTCGATAAGAAGACTTAACAAATTGTCTCTGGTCTGGATTCCTGGCCATACTGGCCTGGAAATAAAAAGAGACTTGCTGATTTCCTTGCAAAGGAAGGTGCTGCAAGCAGCTTAATCAGACCAGAACCTGTCATTGGTATCTCTTGAGGCTTTGCCAAACAAATATTGAACATATGGATGACAAGAAGATTTATGGACTTCTGGCAGAATCTTCCAGGATTGGCTTCCTCCAAGGCGTTCATTCTCCATTCGAAGCTTGATACCAAACAGTTGTTGGACTACAGTAGGGATGAACTCTGATGTCTAATAAGCCTTCTTACAGGTCACTGTCATTTGGCTCATCATATGCAGAGACTTGGATTGTCGTAAGAAAGTGTGTGTCGCCTCTGTTTGGAAAATAAAGAAACAGCAGATCACATAATTTGTGCCTGCCCTGCTGGGGATCCAATCAGGGTTTTAAAGTTCGGCAGAGCTGTACTCTTACCATCTGACCTGAAAGACCACTCATCATACAAACTTATCGGTTTCGTTGAGAAGCTGGGTTCATTTGGTCGAGCGTGAATAGGTGTGAGCCACAATAAACCCTTGCGGGTTGCGGTGGAGGTTCGAATAGACCCACTGACTTTGGACCTAACCCAATCTAACCTAGTGACGCATTTTCGTAATCTATTCAATTTGTTTATTTCATAGGTGAATTATTTGAGGGTCGAATTTCTAAGTTTTAGAATGAACAAATGAATATATCGAGAACGGTCTATTTTTGGTATAGGGGATAGAATAATTTGATTTGAGTTTATTGCAAATTTTCATCTACTCCGCCAGATAATATTTCCTGAATATAATCATACAATTCAATATTCAAATTTTGAAAAAGAAAAAATGTCGCCTGAGGGTTTGATTTATGAAGTTGTGTTATACTTTGTAAATGTTTTTGAGCGTCGTATCACAGTTCATGTAAGGCATGGATCCAAAAATAACATCATGATATTGTTTAGAAGCAGTCTGCATAAGATTCCTCAGTAAACTTGAATACCGACCTGAGAATTAATGAATATTCACGATTGAACAATGAATCAACAATGAATTATTCAAAATTTTGATCCACATGACATTTCGAGTTTTCAATGAAGGGAAGGAAGAAGGTAAGAATGTGAATAGTATACAGAGGCACTCACATTGTCGCATTCAAAGAACCAGTAATGTCCGATAGATTAAAAATCACAATCCGAAAGTATACAGTGAGTAACAACGAAAACTTAACAGAGCCGTTTTTGAATATGAAAAGTGAGATTTTTAAAAAAAGCTCAGACACGTCGATTTCTAATTCAAGGGGGACACCTTTCAGACTAATCCGATTTTTTGTAGCACGCACCCCCTCGGAGGGGTGCGTCCGACGACCCTTATTTAGATAGGGAAAGTAGGTCCGGTGGCACCTTGTTTCAAAGGCCTTTTGAATACCTTTACAACCCTTTTGAAAGAAAATTTTTGTAACGATTAGTTTCCGAGATAATTTGAAGTTAAAATGTTAATAATAACATTAGACAGACCACTCGGTAACTTGTATGCTCAAATAAAAAAAAATTCGAGCAGTCCTTCTTATCAGTTTTTTGTTAAATAAAATCCCTTTTTTAATGAATACCCACTCCTCTTCTTCCAGTTTTCATTAGTACATCGTTCGATTGTTTTGTTCAAACCTTACACTACTGCTGAAAGGGTTTCAGTTATTGCTTTATTTTCTGGCAACGACCAAAATGCTAATAGAACATCAACAACAGTCCAACAACTGTTTGGTATCAAGCTGCGAAGAGTGGATAAACGCCTTGGAGTGAGCCAATCCTGGAAGATTCTGCCAGGAGCCCATGAGTCTTCTTGCCATCCAGGTGTTCAATGTTTGTTTGGCGAAGCCCAAAGCGATGCCAATGACAGGTTCTGGTCCGATGAAGCTGCTTGCAGCACCCTCCTTTGCAAGAGTCAGCAGCTCCATCACCTTCCAGGCCAGTATGGCCAGGAATCCAGCGCAGAGACAATCTGTCAAGTCTTCCTATCGGAGAGAGTCGTTTTTGGCAGTTGGCTACCAATTTAGACGTTACTCGATAGGAGCCAAGAGCTTCCAACGCCGCTTGACTGTCCGAGAATATTTTTATTGACTTGTGTGTGATGTTGGATTTATCCAATTCCTCCGCACACAATTCAATAGCGTAAATTTCTACTTGAAATACAGTTGCATAAGTTCCTAAGCAAGTAGTTACCTCTGTCCTGGTTCTGCGACCAAAAATACCTGAACCAGAACCGGAAGGTGTTTTTGATCCATCTGTGAACCAACAACTATCTGCTCTTGATATTTCCTTCTCCCGGAGGATTCAGTCCTCTCTACTCTGGAATAGTACTCTATGAGGCAGTTCGTAGTTGACAGTTGGATGCATAAAGTCAGAGGTCAATTCCAAAATGCTGTGACTTCCAGTGTCAACCAACAGTCTGTTGCACTCTGCATTTATTTGATTTGTGCAATTGGCAATGTGCACAAGTCTGTATGCAGTCTATATAGCCTCTCTCTCCAGAAAAAATGTGAAGAGGAGGTAGATCTGGGAGGATCTCCATGGCCGCTGACGGTGTGGTACTGATGGCACCAGTGATAGTCAGACAAGCCTGTCTCTGTAAGCCAGAGAGCTTGGCTTGGGCCGTTTTCTGTAAAACCTTCGGTCACCAAGCGACTGCACCATAAGTGATCATTGGTCTGACAATCATCACATTAATCCAATGGATTTGTTTGGGACCCAAGCCCCAAATTTTATCACAAATCCATAGAGACAGTCTGGCTTTATGTAAAACTTTTTCCAAGACAGCGTTCCAGGTGAGTCCATCATCAAGGACAATGCCAAGATATTTCACCTCCGTTTCAAATGGAATGACCTCACCATTGAGGGAAATTGGCGTTAGATCGTCCAATTTTCTTCTCTTGGTGAAGGGGATTTACACAGTTTTGCTGTGATTGACAGACATCTGCTCCCTCAGGCGCCAACTGTGAACAACGTCCAACGTTATTTGGATGATATTACAAGCTACACGTCCCGACGTGAACCTTGCCAGGATGACAAGGTCATCTGCATCAGCTCCGCAGATCAAATTTTCTTTTGTCGAGGGCATCAAGCAGATTATCCATCAGGAGCGACCACAGAATGGGAGATAGTACCCCAACTTGAGGGCAACCCCTGGTGACCCTGAACCTGATGACCTCGCCTTGAAGAGTCATAGTTGCAGTTCTGTTTACTAGCATGGCATAGATCCAGCCAGTTATGGTCGATTCTATACCCTTCCTAGCAAGAGACAATTTAGGTGGTTCATTGTGAAATGCTCCTTCAGTATCAAGAAATACAGACGGCATTCACATAATGCTACACTACCGATATGTCCTTCCAATCTCCTCTCAAGTCCTTTCAACAGGAAGGATGTGAGGCTGATTGATCGTATTACCGATTTAGGGTGTGGGAGTATTGGTATATGGAATGTTTTTTCCCGCTTGGGGCTTTCTTCATAAGATGGAACTGTTCCTAGTAAACAATCTTTCTCTTAAACGAAGGTTTCGTGCATGCAGTCGAGCCGCGTTGAAATTCATCTAGTTCCAGATACTTTGCTGTTAGGATCAAATAATTTTAGCTCGATCACTTTCGAAATTTCTGGTGATACTGATGACTTTGTTGATTTCAAATATATTATTCAACTCTTCATTCTCAATTGGTTTCCAAATGACTCCATCCAAAACTGATTCTGGTTCTTGTGTGGGATTTCCATATTTGGCAAAATTCGTCCACGCCTTTACGAACTTTTGAATATATCTGTCCTCCTCGGAACCTACCACTACGGTTGGAGAAAACCATATTCTGAATAGAAAAAATAAATCATCTCCATGTGATACGCCCCCAATGTCAGTCGTTGGAATTTTATTCTTCAAACCTTCTAGTATCCCACTTACGAAAGGAGATGACATTTTTGTCAAAATCGACATGGCTATGAATGTTTTGAGGTAATTCGTTTGACAAAATCTTTTTGAAAGATTCAAGGAGCTCTCCAGACTCATCCGATATAGGTAAACAGGAGCAGATCCGTGTTTTTTCAGCAGACGAGCTGTTTTTTGAATACCATGAACCATCGATATATCACCGTACAGCTGAAAAAAAAAGATATGAATTTGAATAACTGCCTTTTTGAAACAAAGTTCTCTGTGATATTTGAAATACCCGAATGATTTTTTCTCCAATGCGTTGAACGGAATGATTTTTTTTGAATCACATAGATGTCGCTAGTCGTTTTGCATTCACCACTTTATCAGTTAGTAGTAACCTTCAAAAAAAATGTTGAAATTTCATGATATTCTACTTTTGACTTTGTGAGTTATTTTGATAAGAGTGACACTTATTTTGTTATTTTCAGAACAATGGATGGAAAATAATTTTCTGTTTGAATTTTATACTGCTTCTTGATGGGAAAAATTACCGTTCAAGCAAAGCAATGGCTTGAAAACTGTTATAAGGACTCTGCTTCATTAGAGACAAACAATTGAACGTTGGTTGGCTGACTTTAAACGTGGTCGTAGAGACATCGATGATGCAGAACGCAATGGACGTTCAAATGAGGCAGTAACACCAGAAAACATTGAAAAAATCCACGAAATCGTTTCGAATGATCGAAAAGAGAAGTTTCGTGAGTTAGTTGACATTGTAAAGAACTTGTTGGCTCTACATTGCGCGAGCATTTGTCTATAAGAAAGCTCTGTTCAAAGTGGATGCCGCGCGATCTCACTGTTGACCAAAAACAAGAACGTTTTGATGATTCTGAGCAGCGTTTGGCCATGTTTGAACATACCAAACCGACATTTTTGCGTCGATATGTGACAATGGATGAAACATGAAATCATTACTTCACTTCGGAATCAAAACGATCGTCATCTGAGTGAAGAACAACTGGTGAGCCTCCTCCAAAGGAGGAGCGAAAGCACAACAATCGGCTGTGAAGTTTATCACCCCTGTATTTTGGGTTGTTCGTGGTGTAATAATCCACCGACTATGGAAAATAACATCAACAGTAAATAATTTATAGCGTTATAAATTTCAATCGGACATGCATGACGTAACTCTAGGTGTTCCACAAGTCTCTATTTCAGGCCCACTACTATTTTTAATTTTTGTTAATAATTTACCAAATCATATTAAATACGGTGCCACCACTTTTTATGCTGACGATACCACTGTTACTGTGTCGGATGTTACTGAGGAGGAACTTCACCACAAAACTCAGGTAACGCTTAACGAAGTATATGCGTGGTATCAAAGAAATAAACTCATTTTAAACCATGGGAAAACAGTGTTTATGAGTTAACTTCAGGAGACCATTAACACCCGGCTGCAATTTTGTTTTATCTGAAACAACTAAGTTCCTTAGCACCTTTATAGACGGCAAGTTAACATGGGAACCACACATTGACCACATCTGCAGGCTGCTTGATAAACAATGAATCTGAGGAGTGCCAGATGATGACAGTAGTACCAACTGTCGAAAGCGCTCGCAGATAATTAATAGAAGATATAAAGCTTCAAATCCTTGAAATACTCAAAATGAAGGAAAATTAGTTGCATCAATCAAAATATATTGTTATCAACAATTGCAATTTTTTACCTGCACCAAAATTCTTCAAAAACATTCTTCTAGAGGTAATTCCAAATCGAATGAGCTATCGCTCATATTTTTAGGACCTTTATATCAATTTTTCATGTTTTTGAACTTGTTGATTAGACTATCATAAGAATATGACATACATTCAAAACAAAGTACCTAGTCAAAGATGTTAGTAAAAAATTTATGGATAACCTTGATTTGGGATTAGTGGAGTGAATTGTATCCACAAAAAAGTACAGGACGTTATTTTGTAGAAAACTTTATGATGAATGGAAAGGTGACTCGCTCTATCGAACTATTGTTGATTATCGCTGAGGACCATTCGATAACTTATAATGATCATAATGTTTCGAAAGCTCATATACTAACCGTATACTTGATTTTAATATTTTCTTCAGAAATTTCAGCGTCTTTATAGTAGAAATCCTTAATTTTCTTAGTTACTTCTTTCACCAACTGTTTGTTGTGTGAAATATTCATGTCATATGGTATATCTTTCTCGATACTTTCAGACAGTGGTCCACAATTGTTCATTTTGCGGATGAATCCATACAGCATTCCTTCCAAAGAGTTGTAACCTATGATCATTGGGACCTGATGACTTCTTCCAGACTTTATTATTTCGATTGGTTCTTCGCTCAAAAATGCTCCTTCGTGTGGATATTCGATAACTGGACCAAAGGGGCGCACCTGACCGGGTTCAAATTTCTAAAAAAAGAAAACAAAACAGTGTCACTGGAACTTAGAGAGAATTCACTTCATTGATAAATGAGAGCCTATTGATAAACTATTCAATAGAACTTGAGTTATTTGAAACATGAAAAATGTAAAAGTTAACTGACCAATGTATTCAGATTTTAGTGAGCCACTGAATCAACGATCCGTTTCGATATTGAAATCGCTTTTATGATACTTGAAGAAAACAATTGAATTTACTCACTTCCCCATTTTTGAATGCGGCATTCACTAAACTTTTCGTTGTGGCTCTTCGGAGTTTTTCTAATATAGACTTTTCATCGGTATCATCGTAACCCATTCCTGCAGCAATGTCAAGGGCATTTCTTCTACCTCGGGCCCAGGAATTCAAAGCAGTTCCACTTTGCATGATAGCCTTGTGGAACAAACCTAAGAACATGGCAGGATTCCTAACCACATATTCATTTTATCCATTTCTGAATGAATTTGTCACAAGCCTAGCGACCAGTATTTATTATTTTCAGATAAACTACGGATCATTTTCAGATTTTTGTTTAATTCAAGCACAATTTCTCGCACTTCATGATTATTTCAAACCAAAACTGTACTGGGTGACAGGACACCTCAAAAATAGGAAAATCAATTTTCTCACACCAGAACTGAAACACTATGGGGAAAAATGAAATGACTAAAAAAATTTCAAACGATATTGATCAGATCACCAATCTACGGTATTGATCAGAAAAAAAAATTGAATCGTTGTGAGTACCTAGTATTAATTTAGATTGGAAAGAACATTGCAAGCTCCTGATTTCAAAACCCTCATCTCTCCACTATATGTTCAGAAATCTTAAAGTTGATTTGACACAGCAACAATTAATAAACTTATACGACGCACAAGTGAGAAGTCGTCTAGGTATGGTATTTGCCTATGGGGAGACTCTACACTGTCGAATAACGTCCTCGTATCACAGAAACAAACATTAGGTGTATTGCTGGTAAGAAAAAAAACTATTCTTGTCGAGAAATCTTCAAGATTTGAAATTCTGACCTGTACAGGCCTCTAAGTATTTGAAGTCTGTATTATTGTGTTCAAAAATAGGGATTTGTTTTTCATAAATAACGATTTTCACGAATACAACACACGTCGTAAGAATAATTTACGATCACCACTCTCTAAACGCAATATTTCCTATAAAGCTCCAGCTTGAATCGGCAACAACTTACCTTCCTCCATCAAAAGCTTAAAACATGAAATCAAAGGATATCTGGTTGAGAAATGTCTATACTCTTTGAATTAATCTTTTCAACTTGAACTTTTATTCAATTTATATGCATATCTATTATGTAAACACGTTTTCGTAGTGTTATATCATCCTTAATTTATTGTTATTTTTCTTTTGTACATTAATTCTTCATTCAAATCCTGACCGTACTACCATGCGGTTGTATTCATGACTCTTTCTTATACAACTGTATGTTGTCTTAAAGAAATAAAGTGATTTGATTTGATTCAACATACTTACTTAGGTTACGATTTCATTATTTTTTTATCTGATCAATACCGTTGATTGCTGAGGCGAGTGGTATGATGACAGATACCCAGGACCTTCAGAATTATTTTTTAGCTTTTAGTAGAATATCTACATCATTATTATTATTTTTTCATCATAAAAACATTTCTATTCATTTTATTTCTGCTTGTTTTAGTTTTATTATCATTCGCCATTTCGTAATAGAAATCAAAACGGTCGACCCTACAGAGGTCTAATAGAGGAGCAACAATATGTGCTTGAGTCTTGAGGAGAAAACGCTAACGATATATCATTTTTATTCAACCTAATGCCGCACAGTTCTGGGCACGTTTTATCCTTCCACCTTACTTTGGGTGGTGTATCGTTTACGATTTATCATTTTGAGCCACCCTAACGCCACACAGTCGTCGACACTATACAAAATCTTGACTTGGGTGGGAGATTCATTCTTGTATCCCGATTCTGAGTTGACAAAGTTCTTTATATATACTAATTCTTAAGGACAATATACAAGCACTACAGAAACATCTTTAAGGCGCTCTGAGAGCGGAGCCTGTGCGAAAGTAACGATTCATATTGGATTTGAATGGAAGTTGCAAGTGATGTTGGCGTCTCCAATGAGTAGGATGGCCATTTTCTGGATATATTCCAGCTGCTTCAGGGTATGCTTAGAAGCGGAGCTTTATGCATGTGAACAATACTCAATAGAAGGTCTGATCTGAGCTCTATAAAGCATCAAAAGTTGCTGAGGTGTGTAAAGTTTTCTGGTTCGGAACAGTGTTCCAATCATTTGAGAAGCAGTTTTTGAAATTCCAGTGACAAGATTAGTGTCAATTTCAACCCCCCAGCAAACTTTTCGAAGCAGAAAACGGAATTGCCTCTCCACATATTATTATATTCGGTTCGAAGACATGTATCTTTTTGAAGAAAACCGATGCCTAGGTTTTTGTGGCATTGATAAATTGGATTTGCATATTTTTCATAGTGTATTACTATAGTACTTCAATCCCTGTCATTTGATACTCATATTGAGGATAGGCTAGGTCCGAAGTGAGTGTGTCTATTCAACCCTTTACCGCAACCCGTAAGGGTTCATTGTGGCTCACACCTATTAACACTCGACCAAATAAACCCAGCCTCTTAACGAAGCCGATTATTTCGTATGGCGAGCGGTCTTTCATGTGAGATGGTAAGAGTACGGCTCTGCCGAATTTTAAAAACCTGATTTGATCCCCATCAGGGCAGCACAGATGATGTGTTTTGCTGTTTTATCCAAGTCTCTGCATATGATAATTCAAATGACAGCGACCTATAAGAAGGCCTGTTAGAGATCGTAGTTCATCCATACTGTAGTCCAACATCTGCTTGGTATCAAGCTTCGAAGATTCTTCCAGAACTCCATACATCTTCTCGTCATCCAGGTGTTCAATGTTTTTTTGGCGAAGCCTGAAGCGATGCTAATGACAGGTTCTGTTCCGATGAAGCTGCTTGCAGCTTCCTTGCAAGGGAGTCAGCAGCCTCATTGCCTTCCGGGCCAGTATGGCCAGGAATCCAAACCAGAGACAATCCGTTGAGCGTTCCTATCAAGGAGAGTCGTTTTTGGCAATTTGCTACTATATTGAGGTAGTTGTGAAATTATATGTAATCTACCATTTTGTAGCTGCAGCCATGTTGCATTTACAATGATATAAATTTTATTGAATTCAGTTAAAAAAAATTTGGCATCTTCATACAAAAAATTTAGGAATCTTTCAAAGAAAGGGAGCAATTAATTCCAAAATAAACTCTTTATGGAGATGTTCAGAGTACTGAATAGGAAAAGTGTTTTTATATATTCAAATATTCAAATGAATGTAGTTGTTTCAAAAGTTTTTTTTTGTTTCGTGTAATACAATGATTATATAAAGTAGTTGTTTAGAGAAGGCTTCCTCACAGAAAAACTGCTTGAGCAAATCAGGGATTGGTTCTTGATAATCATAGAACTATCTGTTGCTCGTCTCGTCCCAAGTGAATGTGAGGTTATGTATTATCAGATTGTTGTTGAGAAACTTCTCGTTTCTCTCTATTTTTCATTTTGTTCCCCCTCTTTCTTTGTTATTCACTGAATGACTCCGTTCATAGCCATCTTATCATACTTATTCACTCGTGTTTTCGCCATTCGTTTCTAAAACTGACCCAAATTTTCATTTATTTCTTGGCTCTCACCAATGTTATGTTTTTCTGTAGGTTTTTCTTGAGGTATGCTTGATGAAATACCATAACTTTATGACGATTATTCAAAATAAAGTATTTATCTCATCGAACTGATCTGCCTGTATCTCAATACGTTCTTTCATATATTTTCGGTCAAAATAAAGTTGCGCTGTTGTCGCTAGACTTTGTGAAGTTCGTTCCAGTTCGTTATTCCTCCAATCTATAGAGGGTTAGTTTATCGCGCTATATCACGAGAGACACAATAACATACAAATCATGAACAAATTATAATCGACGTACCGTTTGTAAAACAAGCTGATAAAAGAACCATGTTTATCGAATTAGGTGACCTCACATTTATAGTGTACTGCCGAACTGAAGTGGAAAATTTTTATCAGAAGCCTAAATGAGAAACAAGACTACAATAAGAACAAAGAGAAATTAGTAAGTCGGGATAGAGCAGAGCATGTTTAGACCAATCATTATAAAATCCAGTGGTCAGTAGTGAAAATGATCCGTAGACAATAATGTTTGTTCAAACTGAAGTTCAAAGAAGCCAAATACGTACCGAACAGCAACTTGCTTATGCAAACTAATGTAAGAAACCTATTCATCTACCTATTATTTCAGAAAAAGTTAGCACACCTCTGACATAATGAGGCATTCCAAGGCATGTGAAGAAGAAAAATGGATGAAAGCAATCAATGGAAGTGCAATCAAATGCAATAGGTGGAAGCTATGAAGTTTCAAAGCCTCAAAATTATTGAATTGTAATTTTTTTCAACAAAATAAAATTTCATTCTCCCTTAGTTTTGCAGCGCCATCTTTAGTCAATGCTCCTCTCGAAGATCAACTCACCTTTCGATAGAGGAGATAAAGTCAGGTAATGAACTGAAGCAGCTCCAGCACTCTCTCCAAAGATGGTGACATTATTTGGATCACCACCAAAATTGTGAATGTTTCGCTGAACCCATTTTAAGGCAAAAACTTGGTCTTTCAGTCCGGTATTCCCTGGTATCCCCAACGATTGGTCTTCCAGGCTCAAAAATCCTGTAAAGTAATATATATTTCCTTTTTCGCATATAATTTATTCATACTAGCACAAACATATCAGGAGTCTATTTAAAAGATGGGAGCATAATCTGACTGAGTTCCGTCCAAAAAAACCCAAAAGTTTGACCGCACTGTTAGCAATAGTTGATATTTGAATACAAATTACTCCTTCTTTTATTGAAAAAGTGTTTCATTTCAAAGTTGTACCATACATGAGGTTTGAACAGTTGAGTGATTGCAATGAAATTTGCAAAGAGGTAATTCTTCAAATAGGTTTTTTCTACCATTTCAATTGCTTACACCGATTTCAAAAACAAATGCGATTTTCTAATATATCAGTTGATACAATTTTATTGGGTCTCGATTTATGTTATCATATCAAAATTTGAAAGTCGAGTATTATTGACGGTTTCAATTTCGTTTCACATTATATTTTTCTCCGCAAAATTTGTCATTTTATTCATGACTCTGTGGTTGAAATGCCTGTTCTAGCTTCAAAAGTGAATTCATTATGTCTTTCCCTAGAAAGTAGATATTTGAATATGAAAACTCCAATATTGATATTTTGTGTCAATTTCTCACATCATTTGTTGATATTTGGTCCCAAACCGTAGTTGGTATAAATAATCATATAGCATGAACACGACGACAATGGTAATTCCTTTCCAAAACCGAAATTTCACATGTCCGCCGCGGCTTTTCACTGGGAGGAGTGCATCTGAAACGTCCAATTTTCTATGACGCTAGTGCATAAATTAGGCTGAATTTGACCCATGACATGGCTTATGTTGGCTTTGAAGACCGCTGTGGTTTGTGGCTTAATCGTAGCTTCAACAAGGCGGCCGTTATCAACTGTCAAAGTTCGGAGGTCTCTGTTGGAAGACCCTACATATCAATGGACACCATATGTTAGGACTAGTCGGTCCTACTGTGACTTTCTTTGATTTAAAGTCGAAATAAACCAGGAATCAAACGTTTCAAGTCAAGTAATGAATAAAAATGCCCCTATTGAAATATGTAAGTATCAATCAAAGTTGCCATAGTTTGACTATGAGATATATGATTCAATCAAGAAGGGATAGAGCATATTTAAATCGAACTGCAACAACAACAAACAAGATAAATGGGAAATCTTTAAACTATTGAGAAATTATGTTGTCAATCTCTTAAAACAAAAAAAAGAAATATATTATTTTGACAATATTGACAGATATGTGGAGAACTTTGAAGAGACTGGTTAACAGTAATAGCTATAATGTCTCGAATGGCATATATTTTGAATCAAATGAGCATAATCGACTATTTACGAGTAACATAAAAATGGCGTGCGGTTTTAATAATCATTTTGTTCACAGTATTAATGATATTATACAAAGTATAAGCATCACTGAAAGTTGGCACAATGTAAACAATAATTTATATTGTGAATTCGAAAACTTTGAAATGTTCTCTATGATAGATTTGCGGAAAATAGTTAGTAACCTAGACAATAAATTCTCCATATATGAAACGCTGAACTGTAAAATGATCAAAGAGATCTTCGAAACCATCGGTCATATTATTCTAAACTCAATTAATACATCTCTATATACAGGAAAAATACCATATAAATTGAAAAGCAGTACTGTTATTCCTATTCCAAAAATAGCAAACACCAATAAAGCCAGTGAATTTCGACCCATTAATACTTTGCCCCCAATNACGACAGATGAAAAAGCTTTCTCACTGCTGTCACAAAAACCATGTAGTTCAACTTGTTTCCTTTCATACAATCCGATACCATAACATCTAGGTAAACTCATTTCATTAATTTTTGTCAATTTGTCTCGAAGTTGTTTCCATCTTGTCTTCATTTCTGTGGATAACTCATCCTCGCATCCTATTCTAATCGTCCATAAGTTCTGCATGAAAATTTTGAATTTCATCACCAGTGGGGATAGAAAACCTAACGGGTCGAATGCAGACATGACCACATTCAAAACATCTCGTTTCGTGAGAATCTTGGTTCTATTCAAATTATTTCTTCAAATTACACTTCCTGAAAATTATTTATCCTTTTACGTATTTCAAATCCGGCTTTCTCATGGATTTTTATCACTTTCAGAATCAGTTCAATTGCTTTTTCTTTTCTTTCTGTATTATCCAGAAAACATAATGTTTGTCGATTATTGCCCTGGTTGCTTCTGGAAATTTTGAACAGAATTTTTCAGCGTTCCTATTTTTAACGAATTGTGCCATCGAGGGAGAGGAAGCTGCTCCAAATGTCATTGCCTTCATTTCATAAATATCCGGTTTTCTGGACCTATCCATTCCTCGCCAGAAAAAGCGCTGGTCTGAGCAATCCTCATCTCGAATGAAAACTTGGTGGAACATGCCTCGAATATCTGTGCAAAATGCGATTCTCTTGTGTCGAAATTTCCGCAAAATTGATGTCAGATTTTGTAATAAGTCTGGACCTTGTAAAAGATGATCGTTAAGACTGACCCCATTCGATTTTGCCGCTGCATCGAAGACCAGTCTCAATTTTCCCGGTATAGAGGGGTTAGTTACCCCAGAGTGGGGTAAACACCACATTCTAGGACCACCTTTCCCGGCTTCAGTAATATCAAGCTTCCGAATGTAACCTTTCTCCAAATATTCTTCAATTTTTTCGCCATAATCTTTCGCAAAACCAATATTTCTGTCCATTTTTCTCTCCATACATTTTAGACGATTAAGTGCCACTGCTTTACTATCAGGTTGTGTAACATCATCATTCTTCCACAATAGACCTACTTCAAAGTTATTTCCAACATCGATTTATAGTATTTTCCATTATTTTCAACCCTCTATCATCATCTTTAAATCTTCCATTTTCTTCCGGGCTTCTCATGCCAAAATTGTCAATTTTGAACGAGTCTCCCACTAGATTGTGAATATCTTCATCAATTTGTTCTTGAGACTTACAGCAAACGTGAAATATTAAAGACGATTCATCAGCAACTTTTCCCTGGGGGTATCTGCCATGTACTACCCATCCCAGTGATGTTTCTGATATAAACGGTGCATTATACATTTTCCTTGCAATAGTGAAAGCACATTGATCCTGACCAATAAGAATTGTTGGTTGTGCATCATAAAAGGAAAGTACAGGTGCTTCTTTGATGTATGGATAGATTCTACTCAGGTATCCGACATCAATGGTTTGTCTTGGAAGTGAGAATCCACTCACAGTTCGAATTTCATTCATTTTGTATGTTTTTGAGTTCTCTTCCATTGAAGTAACCTCAACTGTCACTCTTTTGGAGTTTTCTTCATTTTTGGTAACATTGTCAAGCCACTGGTAGCAGAGTGACTCAACCGGTCCATCCAGTCCTAATTTATGGTCAATTTTGCTATCTATCATTGTTGTCGTAGCTGCCTCTTCTAGTAGAGCAAAGGTAGAAATTTCTTTTTTAGGTCCTCGGACTCTCACCAGAATTATTCGAAGAAGGATTGTGGGGTTATCTTGTTGGAAAAAATTAATTTTTTCAACTCGACTTTCCAGTCAGACATCTTCATTTGGGTTTGAACAAAAACTTGAGGCTTCGTTTTCTTTTTTGTAAAATTAAGGTTATGTAATATGTTGTCGTGGAATTTTGGGCATTTTCCAATTCCACACTTTTGTTTCAATCTACATGAGTACATATTGTGACCTGGTTTCAAACAGTAAAAACAGAGTTTTTTCAAAGTCACAATTTTCCATATTTCGTCGATATCTGGTTTTTTGAAATTTTTCTGTCGGATAAGTGGTAACTACTGAAGTCACCACAACTTGATGCAGCTATTGCGATTTTTCTCATCCAAATAGAAACTGTTCTCAAAGTAATTTCATTGTGTAAAGAATATTCCTTGGCCCATTTGAGTCTCAGGAATGGGGGTAATTTAGTAACTATTTCATTCAAGATTGATGGATTTTTCATATGTCCTGTATTTTCAAAGAGTTCCATAGTAGTTACTAAGTTTTCGATAACATTAGAAAATGGTAGATATGTTTCAAACCGTCATTCCCTCGGAGGAGAGGCTGGACGAACTTTCTCTATTAGATTTGAAATTAAAAATTCAGGTCGTCCAAATGTAACTTTAAAAGTTTCTATTATGTTCATAACATTATTTGGTGAAACAAAAAGAGGTTGTATTACATCTCTAGCCCTTCCTTTTAAACATCTTTGTAGTCGGACATATATCAAAAAGTTTTACGGAATGTTCGAGCTGACTGTAGAACAAAGGCCAGTCCTCTGGATTCCCATCTAAAATCGGCAAATTTGTTGGAATATTGTCTGTTTTTTCTGAAAATTTTGATTTATTTATCTTCAGAACGTCTAAAATCTTATTAAAATTATCAGTAGTCATCGTTATAAAATTGTTTGTCGGTACGAAATCGGTTTTATTTTCTGTTTCTTTGATTTTCCACTCAGCAACTTTTTCTTGTAGAGTCATTTCTTCCAAATCAATGATGTTTTCGCCTCTAGAGATTGTGGACTTTTTAGATGAAGAATCTTGAATCAGTTCACGTTGTAGTTGTGTAGTTGTGTAGTTGTTCAGCATTAATTTCGGTTCTCCTTCTCTCTACTTCGGCCATTTTTCTCGTTCCTTCCAATTCTATTTCCAACATTCATCGTCTAGAGCTTGAAGATTTCGTAATTTTTGATTTGTCTTCGGCATTAGATGGGTCTTCTGGTGAAGAACGTTGCTGCAACTTCAAAACTTATCGTGGGTCATAAAATACGTCGCTATATCTTTCAGGAGGAAGTCCTTTAGTTTTCCTCTCACTCCTCCTCAGGTTAGGCACGGACATATTGTAATTGATTACTTTTTCTTTTGCTCGAAAAACCAATGTNAAATTGTTATTTTCGGTTAATCTTTTTGATATTTTTCAGGAATTTCAAATCATTTTATATTATATTAGACAATGGAAGTCCGAACTAATGAAATAAACGACGAAACATTGTCAACAAATTATTTTAACATACTTACTGAACAAAATTAATTAAAAGCAACAACACCATAGTTTCACTTTTGGAAATTGAAGATTGTATGATCATAATACCATTTGGTTCAAATCAAATTTTCCATTTCAGCAATGATTTTCATTATCATTCCGACAAAGGTATTATAGGTAATGACCTAGTTTTCAATGTGTTCAAATTTTTTTAGAGATTTCGATTTTCTCAGAAATCGTACAGAATATCTAAAGACTTGTAGTATTGACTACTTGTAGTTACTTACACTTACCAAATACACCTAATCTGTAATTGATCACTACAAGCACAATATTTTGAGTCATCAAATAATGAGGTCCAGCGGTAATATTTCTATTAGATCCACTTATAAATCCCCCACCGTGTATGAAAACCATTACTGGATTTTTCTCACTTTCTGAAGAGGTTAACTGAAATAAAAATAATTCAGAATTTTGAAATTCTCATTTAAGCGTCATTCATCAGTTAGGATTTGATTTGAGACAATATGTATGGGAGAATGATCCCCGATTAAAAAGTTCCTGATGAAACTATTA